GCCAGTGGGGAGGCCCTGCTCACCTTGGAGGGGCACTTGCACTACTTTTTCGTTGCTGGAGTGTGTGACCTTGCACGTCACGAACTCGTCTGTGCCCTGGAGGATGTCGGCGCTGGGCAGGAGCAGCTGCGAGCTGGCCGTGTACTTGCCTCCCCACAGGGTGGGTGGGAAGCTCTGGATGTCCTGGTTGCTGATGGCGGTGGCGTTCTTAAATTTCCAGGAGAAGGTGACAGGGCTGGGCAGGAAGTCCTTGGCCAGGCAGCCCATGGCCACCAGGCGCTCATCGGACAGGGAGTTCCCACAGGAGACGAGGGGGAAGACGTTGGGGGGAGACGTGCTCGCTGAGGACCCGAGCGGGACAAAAGAGAAAGGGGCGTGAGAGGATGACTTCCCAGACTTGGCTGGTCAGGCCCCGTCGCCCCTCAGTTGCCCCTCGGGGCCAAGCCCATGACGGGCCCCCCAGGCCTTGCCACCTGTGGGGCAGGCAGCGTGGCAGGCCGGAGCAATGGCCAAGACTCGGGTCTGGGGAGGCTGCCATAGGCCCCACCCGCAGGAGCCGGCTCTGAGCCTGGGGGGATGAGAGCGGCTCTTGCTGGAGCGGCAGGTCTGGCCCTTCCTCCCCCGGCAGCACTGTCCCCAGACGCAGGAGCACGTGCACCCAGCTCCTGGCTCACACGGCCCAGGCCCAGTCCAGGGCCGCCTTCCCTCTCAGCACTGCAGCCGTGCTCAGCCCCAGCACCCAGAGCCCCGGGCAGTGGCCAGCGAGAGAGGGGCCCCTGCGAGCCCAGCCCTCACTGCCACGGCTCCGCCACATGGAGCCCAGAGCTGGGTGTCCTGGGTCCAAAGGATGGTTGTGTGATGGGGGAACGAATACAGACTCAACTAGACACTAGCTCAGCTCCCCCAGCTCACCCAGCTCAGCTCCGCTCAGCTCACCCGGCTCCGCTCAGCTCACCCGGCTCCGCTCAGCTCACCCGGCTCCGCTCAGCTCACCCGGCTCCGCTCAGCTCACCCGGCTCCGCTCAGCTCACCCGGCTCCGCTCAGCTCACCCGGCTCCGCTCAGCTCACCCGGCTCCGCTCAGCTCACCCGGCTCCGCTCAGCTCACCCGGCTCCGCTCAGCTCACCCGGCTCCGCTCAGCTCACCCGGCTCCGCTCAGCTCACCCGGCTCCGCTCAGCTCACCCGGCTCCGCTCAGCTCACCCGGCTCCGCTCAGCTCACCCGGCTCCGCTCAGCTCACCCGGCTCCGCTCAGCTCACCCGGCTCCGCTCAGCTCACCCGGCTCCGCTCAGCTCACCCGGCTCCGCTCAGCTCACCCGGCTCCGCTCAGCTCACCCGGCTCCGCTCAGCTCACCCGGCTCCGCTCAGCTCACCCGGCTCCGCTCAGCTCACCCGGCTCCGCTCAGCTCACCCGGCTCCGCTCAGCTCACCCGGCTCCGCTCAGCTCACCCGGCTCCGCTCAGCTCACCCGGCTCCGCTCAGCTCACCCGGCTCCGCTCAGCTCACCCGGCTCCGCTCAGCTCACCCGGCTCCGCTCAGCTCACCCGGCTCCGCTCAGCTCACCCGGCTCCGCTCAGCTCACCCGGCTCCGCTCAGCTCACCCGGCTCCGCTCAGCTCACCCGGCTCCGCTCAGCTCACCCGGCTCCGCTCAGCTCACCCGGCTCCGCTCAGCTCACCCGGCTCCGCTCAGCTCACCCGGCTCCGCTCAGCTCACCCGGCTCCGCTCAGCTCACCCGGCTCCGCTCAGCTCACCCGGCTCCGCTCAGCTCACCCGGCTCCGCTCAGCTCACCCGGCTCCGCTCAGCTCACCCGGCTCCGCTCAGCTCACCCGGCTCCGCTCAGCTCACCCGGCTCCGCTCAGCTCACCCGGCTCCGCTCAGCTCACCCGGCTCCGCTCAGCTCACCCGGCTCCGCTCAGCTCACCCGGCTCCGCTCAGCTCACCCGGCTCCGCTCAGCTCACCCGGCTCCGCTCAGCTCACCCGGCTCCGCTCAGCTCACCCGGCTCCGCTCAGCTCACCCGGCTCCGCTCAGCTCACCCGGCTCCGCTCAGCTCACCCGGCTCCGCTCAGCTCACCCGGCTCCGCTCAGCTCACCCGGCTCCGCTCAGCTCACCCGGCTCCGCTCAGCTCACCCGGCTCCGCTCAGCTCACCCGGCTCCGCTCAGCTCACCCGGCTCCGCTCAGCTCACCCGGCTCCGCTCAGCTCACCCGGCTCCGCTCAGCTCACCCGGCTCCGCTCAGCTCACCCGGCTCCGCTCAGCTCACCCGGCTCCGCTCAGCTCACCCGGCTCCGCTCAGCTCACCCGGCTCCGCTCAGCTCACCCGGCTCCGCTCAGCTCACCCGGCTCCGCTCAGCTCACCCGGCTCCGCTCAGCTCACCCGGCTCCGCTCAGCTCACCCGGCTCCGCTCAGCTCACCCGGCTCCGCTCAGCTCACCCGGCTCCGCTCAGCTCACCCGGCTCCGCTCAGCTCACCCGGCTCCGCTCAGCTCACCCGGCTCCGCTCAGCTCACCCGGCTCCGCTCAGCTCACCCGGCTCCGCTCAGCTCACCCGGCTCCGCTCAGCTCACCCGGCTCCGCTCAGCTCACCCGGCTCCGCTCAGCTCACCCGGCTCCGCTCAGCTCACCCGGCTCCGCTCAGCTCACCCGGCTCCGCTCAGCTCACCCGGCTCCGCTCAGCTCACCCGGCTCCGCTCAGCTCACCCGGCTCCGCTCAGCTCACCCGGCTCCGCTCAGCTCACCCGGCTCCGCTCAGCTCACCCGGCTCCGCTCAGCTCACCCGGCTCCGCTCAGCTCACCCGGCTCCGCTCAGCTCACCCGGCTCCGCTCAGCTCACCCGGCTCCGCTCAGCTCACCCGGCTCCGCTCAGCTCACCCGGCTCCGCTCAGCTCACCCGGCTCCGCTCAGCTCACCCGGCTCCGCTCAGCTCACCCGGCTCCGCTCAGCTCACCCGGCTCCGCTCAGCTCACCCGGCTCCGCTCAGCTCACCCGGCTCCGCTCAGCTCACCCGGCTCCGCTCAGCTCACCCGGCTCCGCTCAGCTCACCCGGCTCCGCTCAGCTCACCCGGCTCCGCTCAGCTCACCCGGCTCCGCTCAGCTCACCCGGCTCCGCTCAGCTCACCCGGCTCCGCTCAGCTCACCCGGCTCCGCTCAGCTCACCCGGCTCCGCTCAGCTCACCCGGCTCCGCTCAGCTCACCCGGCTCCGCTCAGCTCACCCGGCTCCGCTCAGCTCACCCGGCTCCGCTCAGCTCACCCGGCTCCGCTCAGCTCACCCGGCTCCGCTCAGCTCACCCGGCTCCGCTCAGCTCACCCGGCTCCGCTCAGCTCACCCGGCTCCGCTCAGCTCACCCGGCTCCGCTCAGCTCACCCGGCTCCGCTCAGCTCACCCGGCTCCGCTCAGCTCACCCGGCTCCGCTCAGCTCACCCGGCTCCGCTCAGCTCACCCGGCTCCGCTCAGCTCACCCGGCTCCGCTCAGCTCACCCGGCTCCGCTCAGCTCACCCGGCTCCGCTCAGCTCACCCGGCTCCGCTCAGCTCACCCGGCTCCGCTCAGCTCACCCGGCTCCGCTCAGCTCACCCGGCTCCGCTCAGCTCACCCGGCTCCGCTCAGCTCACCCGGCTCCGCTCAGCTCACCCGGCTCCGCTCAGCTCACCCGGCTCCGCTCAGCTCACCCGGCTCCGCTCAGCTCACCCGGCTCCGCTCAGCTCACCCGGCTCCGCTCAGCTCACCCGGCTCAGCTCAGCCGCCCGGAGCAGCCCAGTGCAGCCCTGCTTAGCCCCGTGGTTCTGGTCAGAAAGGCTCAGACCACCGGACCTGCTCACCTCAGCGGAAGGATCTCACCCCGGAGTTCTGTGCCGCTGGGTTCAGTCCGGGTCAGTTCCTTCCCGGGGCCTCTTCCTGCCTTTTGCCCATGATACACCCGCTCCCACCCCGGGCCCTGCTCCCGCTGGCGTTCGGCCCCCAAGCAGTGCCAGTCACTGTCCCCTCAGCAGCTTGGTGAAAGCACCCCCGCCCGCTTTAAGTCAGTAAACATTGGTGAGGCTCGGGGAGCACTGGATCGGGAGAGTGGCTCCCCGCCACGCGCCCCAGCGTCAGCCTCCGGCTCTAACCACGTTCCCTCCAGAGAAAAATCATCACTCGAAATGGCCAGGAAATGCATTTTTCTGATCTCGCCACCTAAACCCTGCTCTGTAGCACAAGGCTGGGCACTTTCTAATGCGCGACAATGACCTGAAGACCGAAGCTGTGCTCACAACTTAGGGAAAGACAACAGGGCGGGCTTGTCCGAGCCACACCGTCCGCAGCCGGGAAGGCACGGGCAGCACTGGCCACTTTTCCCTGGAAGGTTCTCTGGGGAGAGGTCACTCGGAGGAACCCACACAGGGCAGCTCGAGGGGTCACACACACAGGCTCTCCGCCTCCACTGGGCACCAATGGTCCAAGATCCCCCTTCAGGTGGAGGCAAAGCTGTCACACCCTGTGGCCCAGGGGCTGGCAGCGGCAGCCTCTCTCACCACACCTGCCGGTCACTCGCACGTCCGGGGGGCGGGAGGGAGGGGAGGCCTTTGTCCTGCAGCAGTTCCTCCAACTCCACTACTCACTCACTGGGGACCCGGACTCAGACACGGTCCTCCACTGGGCACCAATGGTCCAAGATCCCCCTTCAGGCTGCATCTCCTGGCCTGGGGCTTGGCCATCTCAGACCCTCCACCTCCACCCGAGCAAGTTCAAGTCGAACGAGGCCTGCCACGCGCCCGGCTCCTTTCTGCCGGAGACCTGACGGGCTTCCTCTTATTTCACTGACTACGAGGCTTCACTGAGCCCACACAGTTCACCTGCAGTCTGTCCTCAGAGGCACACTTGGAAATCGGTCTGGAAACAAGGCCACTTTATCAGAAATCGCAAAGTGCCTCTTCCTCACGGAGAGAAAACACTAACTTAAAGACACAGGACAGTCCCTGTGAA